TTAACTGCGTTACGGACGATATTTCTCTGACCGACCAAATCAAAACTTGGTATGAGTTAGAGTCGTATGGTGCGTTCAAGCAAGTAGATGCCCGTTCCGCCGCAGACAAGCGTGCTTTGTCGATCCTAAAAACTGAAACCGTTCACGATGGTGAGCGTTACACTGTACCGATGCTGTGGAGTGATAATGATGTTAGCTTGCCTAACAATTATTATTCTTCATTAGCCCAATTAAAGTCGTTAGAGAAAAGATTAGATAAAGATCCGTTACTTCGCAAGAAGTATACCGAAACAATCAGAGAAGATATAAGTAAAGGATATGTCATAACCGTCAACCCGCACGATCCCAGCTCACGAGCCGAACGTGAGTGGTATCTTCCACACCATCCGGTTTTGAACCCGAACAAACCCGGCAAGGTGCGCCGTGTGCTCAATGGAGCATCCAAATTTCATGGCACTTCCTTAAATAGATCTCTCTTGGTTGGCCCGGATCTCCTTCAAAATCTTATTTTTGTACTGTTGAGGTTCCGTCAACACAAGTACGCCGTCTCAGCGGACATAGAAGGTATGTTCTTACAAGTTGGAGTACTTGCGCGAGATCAACCGTCTCTCCGTTTTTTGTGGCGGGAGGACCCCACTTCAAGTGTGGTGGTTCACCAATACACCCGTCATATTTTTGGCGCTCGTGATTCGCCAACTTGTGCGAATTTCGCGCTACAAAAAACTGCTTCTGATAATCAAGCTGAATACCCCGAAGCCGCTTCAGCCGTTGTCCAGAAGTTTTACATGGACGACTATCTTGACTCGTTCGAAAATACCGCTGACGCTCTTAGCCTAAGTAAAGACTTAGTCGCAATGCTCAAATTAGGTGGGTTTAACCTGACAAAGTTTGTTAGCAATGTACCCGAAGTTACAACCGCTCTTAATCCGGACAACCGTGAGTCCAACCCGTCAGTTAAGGATATTTGTAAGAGTCCAGACCAATCGTCGCATGTTCTTGGTCTCAGGTGGGATCATGTAAAAGATACCCTAGTAGTAAGTAGAGGTGTTGATCGACCACTAGATAAAGCTATTACTCAACGCACCGTGTTGAGTTTTGTTTCCTCAGTTTTTGATCCAATAGGACTGGTAGCTCCATATACTGCGAAAGCGCGCCTTTTACTAAAAGACATATGGAGAATCAGTGGTCAAAAGTGGGATGATGATCTCCCAGAGGAAATTAAACAACAATTTCTAGATTGGCACTCAGGACTTCCACTATTAGGTACTCTGACGATACCTCGTAGCTACTTTACCGAACCGTTCGACCGCTGTGAACTTCACACGTTCGGTGATAGTTCGCAGGACGTTTTTTGCGCCGTATCGTTTCTCCGAGCCCGACTTGCTAAATCGCAAAAGACCGAGTTAGCTTTTGTATTTGGGAAAGCCCGTGTAGCGCCTATGAAGATGCTCTCCATTCCCAAGTTAGAGCTTCAGGCTGCTCTGCTTGCGACTCGACTCAAAGAAGAGATTTTGAAAGCGCTTACTTTCAAAGTAAGCAATGTATTCATGTGGACTGATTCTACCACCGTTCTCCAGTGGCTTAACTCGTGCAACAAACTTCCTGTGTTTGTTGGAAACCGCACTGGTGAAATCTTGGAGTCCACCACCATTGATCAATGGAATCATGTACTCAGTGGTGATAACCCAGCTGATACCGGCACACGAGGGATTTCTTCGGAAGCCCTCAAGGATAGCAGCTGGGTTAGAGGCCCTAGTATATTGAGGACATGTGATTGGCCATTCAAGCCGAACACTGATGTCATCAAAAAGATCCAATTAAAAGGCCCACTCTGTGACATTGATACATGCCTTGAGACTGCATCTACGTTTGTTGTTGATGCTTCATCTGAGAAAGCGCCGTCGATCCGTCTGTTTAAAAATTGGGATAAATTCAGCTCAATTGTAAAGTACAAACGTGTTTTAGCGTTTATGCTTCGTGTGCTACCATCGCATAAACACTTCCGTACAAAAACGCTTGAAATAACCGACCCGTCCGAGTTAGATATTGCCGAGCAGAAACTCATTTATCTCGCTCAGTCCGAATCATTTCCTGCCGAAGTGAAAATACTTCAGTCCGATAAACTGATAACAAAGAAAAGTCGGATTGCTAAATATTCTCCGTTCATCGGCCCAGCTGGCATCCTGCGTTCAACTGGACGTATCAGCCGTCTTGTTGATACCGACTTTGATAGCAAACATCCAATAATACTGGATGGTCGACACCGAGTTGCTCATATGTTGATTAGGCATATGCACTTTCAACATGCACATCAGGGGTTGGATTACATGCGTGCTGTCGTTCAGTTGAAATTTATTGTTCTGAAGTTGCGCTGGTTACTTGGGAACATCGAAAATACTTGCATAACATGCCGTAAGCGCAAAGCAAAAACAGTTGTGCCCATTATGTCTGACCTACCAATTGAAAGACTGGGTTACAAGCAGCCTCCCTTCTCCAACACAGGTGTTGATTACTTTGGCCCGTTTCAAGTGCCAATACGCCGAAGTACCGAAAAGAGATGGGGTTTCCTATTTACCTGCCTCACGACTCGAGCAGTTCACATCGAGTTGGTTCCATCTCTCGATACTATTTCCTGCGTCATGGGCGTAGAGCGATTTATTGCAAGGCGAGGTACCCCCAAAACCATTCTTTCTGACAATGGCACGAATTTTGTTGGTGCTCAAAAGGAGCTCCTATCCCGTGTCCAAAATTGGAACAAAGTCGCCCCGGCCGTTTTCGTCCACAAAGGCGTTAAGTGGAAGTTTAACCCGCCCAGTGCCCCTCATCACGGTGGCGCCTGGGAGCGGCTAGTGAGAAGTGTTAAGCGAGTGTTGTACGACATATTAGGCAGCAGGAGATTAACTGAGGAAGTTCTAGGAACAACGCTCTGCCTAGTTGAACAATTACTTAACGCAAGACCGATCACTCCGGTCAGTTCCGATCCGCACGACCTAGAGGCACTCACCCCGAATCACTTCATTCTCGGTCACAGCGCAGCTAGCTTCCCGTCGCTAAGTTTCGAAGAAAACTTTGATCATAAAAAGCGTTACGCCAGAGCACAATCGTACGCTAACGCAGTTTGGTCACGCTGGCTGCGTGAATATGTACCATCTCTCAACAAGAGAGCAAAGTGGCATAATGATTCGGATGTCACACTGAAAACCGGCGACTTGGTTTGGGTAGTCGAACCCGACAGCCCACGTGGGCATTACCCACTCGCCCGTATTGCTAAACTACACTACGGCAAAGACGGATGCGCCCGATCCGCCGATATCAAAACTGTTGCGAGCGAGCTGACACGACCGACCGTAAAACTCGCACCTGTTCTTCCGTCTTTAGGGGCGGAGGATGTTGCAGCGCAAATGTAAATGTGCGAGAGTATAAATGCATATAAAAGTAAATACATACAGGGACAGTAGCCAAGCGTATACATGGTGCGTCCCGGCGGGTTTGGCGCCGGTTCGAATCCCGACTAGGTCATTTCCTTTCTAGAACTCGAATGTGCACCGAACTTGATGGGATGCTCCGTAACCAGGTTCGGTCCCCCCAAAACCCATTTTAACCGTCTTTTCGCTCTAATTTGGTTCAGCCTTGGTTAAGGCTGACCTTTAAAAAGAGCAATTTGTCTCAAGGACAAATACTGGCCATTTTTGCAGCTTGCTTTGAGTTATGCAGTTTATTGTGGCCGATGTTACCGATGATAAAGTTTGTTAAAATTATCGTTATATTTTCAAATTTCCGTTATATTTCCGGAGTTATTTTGCCGAGAAAATACTCATTAATTAAAGTGTTTAAAAACCGTTTTTTTTTATGTATCCTTAGCTTGTTTCGATGTCTTGGTTTATTTGGCTGTGCGGTTGGAACGGTTTTTTGGTGATAGGTAGAGTTGAATGGTGTTTACCTCCGCATTTGTTGACGAAACGTTGCCTGGCCGATGAGCTTTCACTACTTCTGTGTTGGCCTTAGCAGTTGAAGCATAGTTTATAATGTTTCACCAACTGTGCTCCTTGATCTACGGGAACAAAAAAGTCAGGCTCTTTAGAATATAGCGCCTGGTTAACTATTGGAATTGTAAGGATTGTTATTTTTGCAGATTCACCAGAAAATGTGTCGTAGTTTTGGCTGGACCTAGAAGTAAATTAGTTGGATCGTTTTTCGGATTGTTGTTGCTTCATCGGAGAGCGATTTCTTCCTGCTTGGTTTGAAGTCGATGATTCTATCTCCAGGTTCTCCATGCTCGCGAGTAGTAGTTTAAGTACTGCGGTAAAATTTTTAATGTAGCTCATACGAATTCGCTCGTTACGCAATGTCCTTCCCATGTCATTACCCAATTTATTGGGAGCTTTGAGCGCGCAAGTCGGCTAGGTCACTAGAATTCAGTTCAGCGGTGTAGCCGTTGATTTCGAAGTTGTGAACTAGTTTCCGTAGAAAAGCAGCGTATTCGATAAAGCCCTGTGGTTCGCTTTCTATCAATTTGTCAAATTTTGCGAGTTTTACTGAAGAACGCAGACACCCTTACTTTGACTTACCGTATCTACGCACTAATTCAAGTTTTGCCTGTTCGTAATGAGAAGAATTGTTTCTGTAGCTTTCTACGAGGATTTATCTTTATCGGTACTTAATGACTGCGATTGAAAAAAATTTCCCAATAGGGCTTAGGCGCGGGCTATTACTAGGTTTTGTTCCATCTGTGGTCGCCAATTTCTTAAGATATTTTCTAAGTCTTAATTTCAGTCTTTTTTTGCTTACAGAAGTCATTAATATTACTAGTCAATATCCAACAAAGCATGACATTATTTAACATTTAGACCGCGTTTTTGCAAAAATTAACATGAATTAGTCATGAATATGTCGAAAATTCGACTATCTTAACCTACATAACAATTATCTCCCTTTATTTAAAGGGGGGTTGATTTTTAAGCAGATCCGTGATGTTTTATGGTTGTTCATGCTTGACTTACGATATTTGACATTCGTAGAGGCGGCCAGGAGTTAAGCCCACAATTGTGTGCATTCGCACATCAATGGGCAAGTACACCTCAAAGAGCTCGTCTGGCAGTGTGATGTCCAGGCAATCCGACTCCATCGATGCAATCCTAAAAATAAAGTCCAAATTAACTAATGTATGATGTTGTCAATAAAAACCGCCCATATGACCTAAAACGACGCTCAAAAAGCTTGCTCCCCTCTTCCTTCCAATCCTACCTTGCATAAGCATAAACTTTATGTTTTAACGAGAAGTGTTACAAGTTTAATCATAACACCAAATATATTGCCATGACCTAATTAGTCCGCAAGCCAAACTTTGTAATAATCAGATTATGACAAAAACATAACAAGTAAAATTTCCAGGTGCTCAAACTTTTCAAGTTTTGATAGAAACGGGGGGCTAAAATCTCGACTCCGGTTGCGATTGTGTTTGAAAATTACTGTATTAAGCAAGCAGTGGTGAAGTGGCTAAATCTCCGCATCTTAAGTAAAAAATCGGTGATTCGGGGACCACCATAACACATGCTTATTTTCTGAGGATGATGCAACAATACCGTATCAAAAACCGTATTCGGTTGGTTTATTTACTCTCGAAAGGAGAGGGCGGCGTGGGGGGGCTTACTTGAGAAGCTGTAGGACAGGATACTCGTGGTTGTATTGTGTGGGGAGCTGCCAGTGAACGGTGAGAGAGTTCTGCGTCTCGGGAGGTGTTTTTCGGATCCACAGACAATCGTCGGCAAGGGGTTCCCAGAGAGAGCAGCCGCGGATGTTAGGATCCCCCTCACCATGTACCCAGTCCAGCCCTCGGCTCCAAATTGAAGTTCCTAGAAAAAATCAGACGATCAGCTTGAAGTCAGTTTTTGTTCCGACAATTGAAAATGGGCAGAAACTTTGTATTCGGGTAGGTTTTAGTTTTTTTGCTGTTTGTTTTCCACGCAAAACCAGGTGCCACAAATAGTCATCGGACTGGGTTGTGTGATTTATCATACTAAGGCCCTTTGAGTCCTGATTTGAACGACATCAGGAAATTTTGAAAATTTCGGAAACAAGCTCGAGAAGTTTTTTTTTATACAGTTTTGAGCAGAGTTTTGATTTCTTTACGTTTAAAGTACAACACGAATACCTGGTTGCCGTGCAAGTAGCATAGAAGATTCTAAGTGCGCAATTTTTAACCCATGTGAGCAATACCCTCAAATAAAATAAATGAACTATCTCCACCCCAAAACTCAAGCGCTAAAGTTGGCTGGCAAAAAATTTAGTCAAAAAAATTGAATTGGGCAGAAAGAAATAACTGGGCAAAATTGTTGTAAAAAGTTTCCCTTAAAACTGTATAATTTGAAATAACTGATAATCAGAAAATATTGTTTTTGTTGAAACATTCAAGGAAAATTTAAGTTTCCCTTTTCGTTTTGCGCAAATTACTAGCTTCTTTTTGGTTGAGAAGAAAGTTTTTTTCCTGTTGAAAAAATGAAATTTGAACACCCAAATCTGTTAGTGGGGAGATAATTCACTCGTTCTCGATTTTTTTAAACCAATTAGAAAAATGAGAAAAACGTTTTTATGGAGATCATTTGGATTGATCGTTTTTTAGTTAGTAAAAAGGGTTATATTTACTAATGAGCTACAAATTTATTTAATAATTAATAATAGGTTTGAAATATTAGCAATTAAAATAGCAGAAAAATTGGATTCGATCTTCAATCTGAAAGATTAGTCTGAAAAATATTTTTTTACGTATCCATTTGAGAATTTTTTTTTAAAGAATTGGTCTTCAAATCACGGCCAACAGGGTTTTAATAGGATACCACTTTCGATACCCCATGAGTTTTTTTTTGCAAACTGGGGAAAATATTCCTTTTGCTTTAGTTCCTTCCAACCCTTTTAGAGGCGGTCGTCGGAACAAAAAGCAGCAAAAAAAGTATTTTTAAAGAATTTTTAAAATTCAGTGTTGAAAAAAACGCTGGCGTCGACTGTCGACAACAATCTAAGAGATGACGAAAATCTAACCTCAACTTTTAAATTATGATTCAAAAACTTATAGTCTTACAACTAAAGTTTAAGTTTTTAGATGTCTGTCTATTACAAAATTTGGTATTATTGGGTGGAATTAGACAACGACATCAGTTTTCAATCAGAAATTTTAAAGCTCATTGCAAGCTTTTTCGATCAATATTTTAGATCTTTCACTCAAACTTTCAATCTCACCATGAAATGTATCAAAGCCAAAATTTCCGAATTTTTTATGTACACACTCATTTAAACAGAAACTGCTGGTTTTCTTGAGCTTTAAGCAGTCAAAAAGCATGGGGGTAAAAAAAAGCACAGAAGCTTTCAAGCACTGTTCATTCTGAAATCAAAACAAATAAGAACGAACAATTATTATTGATTACGTTTTTCCAATTTTTTCTGTGCGTAGTGTGATGAGAATAACCAAAATCTTCTCAAAAGGTGGGATACTTAAGCTAAACAACTTTTTTGCTATTCAAAACGAACAATAGTTTAAAAGAAAACATTTTTTGTTTTTCTCCAGCTAAAAAGTCTTTTTCTGATTTTTCAAATTTTCCCTCGTCTCATCCAATTTTTCATCAAAGTTTCAACTGGTTTTTCTCGACACTGAAAAAGTTTTGGATTTTACTTTTAATCGGTGGATCGCACTAAAAAGAGTACACCATGTTGTGTTACTCGAACACATTCGACCTTTTTTGTGATACCCGATTGAAGGCGGATTAAAAAAATTGAAGGCGGATAATAAAAAAAAACAAATCGTAAGAATTTTTTTTTGGTCGTAGCAACAGCTTGAATAAATGACTCTTACGCAAAAGCTTCTTTTCTCACAAAAAGACTAAGCCGAATTTTGTCTTGGAGATCTGTTTTCATCAGTTTCGGTTAAAACCAAGATTTCATCATTACAAAACCATGGTCAAACTGCTCGTACCCTGGATATTCTGTGTAAGATCTGAAATTCTTTATTTCTTTTATTTTTCGTTTCTTATATCTTTTTTTTTTCAGATCTTAAGAAGAATTTGAAAAATTTGGAACAGAAATTTGGATCTGAAATAGAAAATTTTAAGTCTGAAATAACCTTCAAAAACAACATTTCAGATCTAAAATTAGATCAAATAAACCTTTTGTTAATTTATAGTTTATGGGTTTCGAGCACACATGATATTTTTGATGTTTTTGCACTACACAATGATTGATTTTCAAAAAGTTTCACAAACTGTTTTTTTTAACTAACTTTTGGGTTCAACTGTGATAAAATGTTTTCAAAAAACTTTCACAAACACATCAAACTTTTACTTTTCATGCACTATTTATGTGTTTCCAATGTTAACCTCATGCTTGGGGAACATATTTGGGCAGTCTCCCATTGGACAATTAGCTGAGTACCTGCTAGTAGCTAGCAGAAGCTGTCAGATACAGAAGTATCAAAAAAGGCAAAAAGTGACTCAGACTCATTTATTTTTCTGACCTGAAATAACCAAGAAAAACAAAAGTTCAGATACTTAAAGTATCCAAGCGTTATTTAAAAACTTTTCACAACCCATCTCAGATCTAAAAACTAGATCTGAAAAAGATAATTTCTCATCTGAATTAGAAAATTTGCTAAGAATGGGTGTGCACTGAATTGGCGCACAAATTGCTGTGTGTAAGTCTCTGGAATCCAGAGACAAGTCTTTAAACATGCACAAAGGAAGATTAAAGATAGCGTGGTTGTTGCTGAATCCGCTAGCAATTGACAATATACATAGTTTGGCCTCGTAATGATGATGATTGATAAATTAGTAAATAGGTATTTTGTTTTGCTGATTCAAAAATTTTATATAATTTAATTTTGACCTCATGATGATGAAGCTTGATAAAATTGTAAAGAAGAAACTTTATTTCGCTGATTCAAAAGTTTTGTGGCATATTTGCTACATGTTTTCACCAAGAATCAAATGTACTACCAGGAATGTCCTAAAGATCTATTTGGTATATTTGATAGCGATATTTTACCAATTTTTGTTAGCTATCTAAATGAACTCAACTTAACTATCTTTCAGTATTTTTAGTTTGGTTTTCCGAGCAACAGAAATAAAATTTTAGAAAAATTTGAATGGTAAAAAAAGATTTGATGCCTTTTGGTGGTGATGGTGCCCAGCAAAATCTAATGACGGGTTCGATTCGCACGTGCACTGCAACTTATAAGGTGTGTTCTGCTCAAATATACATAGCTTAGTGAACCTTATTTATCTTGAACTCCGGGTTAAACGACTGGCATGTTATCTGAAAAATAAGATTTTTCGAGCTATTAAGGCGAATTATATGATTTTTGTTTAATAAAGTAAAAAAGAATAACTATGCTCATTTCAGTTAACTTGCCAGGCGCCTAACCCGGAGTTTAAACGACTACGGTTAACTAAGCCACAGCTATTTTACAAGAGCTCACCGTGTAAGTGATTATCATACTTTTTAGTATTCTCCTTATTCAACATGCAAATCTTCGTCCTTTTGTGACAGCGTTAAACAAGTTTCACAAAAATTTTGATTCAAAAGTGGGGTGGGGGGAAACTACTTCAGAGAAAACTTTTTGAAACTTATTTGAGACTTGCCTAGTAGATGTTCCTGCCCGAGTAGTCGTGAGTCAGTGATGAGAAACTCACAATCATGACTTCTCAAGTGGTAGTTGATAGACCGACAGAAAGATCTCGACAGACATGACAATCCGCAAAGTCGGCTACTCTTCCTTTTCTCAGTTCCGTTGATGAAAGTTTCCAATATTTTTTTGTTGGTGAAGGTCACGCTGAACCCCAACGACGACGCTGAAGAGCCAAAAAATGGCCTCGGTTCCAAAATTAAAAGAAAAAGAAATAGCAAAACCATTGTTTTTTTTCTTGAATTTTTGAAAAAAGAGAGATGTAACCTATATAGGAAACCTCAAAAATGTCTATTAAATAAAAAATTTAAAAGGCAGCTGACTTTTTTGCCTCTTAGTTTTTTTAAATCAACAGTGAACTTTCATCAATATGGTTATTCTATCTTTTATTTTTTGATTGGATGCATAAAACTGACTGGAAAATTTTTGTCAAATAGGTTGATTAAGAAACAGGAAGTTTTGCATGACTGCGAGTGTAGAAATACTCCCATGACAAACCAGAGACCGATTTTAAAAAACGATCAGTTGGACTATTGTATAATAGTCTCGCTGTCTGTGAGAACCACCAATAAATCTATAAATCAGTTGTCAACTTGACGTTTGAATTCAGTTGTATTTTTTAGGCTTCATAAACCGGATATTAATTGAGAAACTATGCTTTTATTTTGTCATGGTTTTGTTCGGAGCGCTGTTTGAAACTTGAGCTTCCGGTACGTTTGGTTCGAAGTCTAATTAAGCACCTGAAAAATTAGAATACGTTTTTTTAAACAAAATCATTTTTACACATTTATTAACATAAATTATTTACTTGAATCTTGCTTCTCAAATTTGTTTGATTTTCCAATGTTTAACTTTTCTTCTGTCTCGAACAAAAAAGAGCACTGGTTTTAACGGCAACCACTAGCAGCAGAAAATTTTTAGTAATCAAGAATTTTGTATATTTTAATAACACCGTAAATCTGTGTAACAAGATGAAGACTATTTGGGCAGATGAAGCCCAAATTTGTCTATGCAGGCAAACTAAAACCCAAAGGCGAAGTTGATTTGCAGATAGAAAAACTGGAGGTTTTTTCGTTGTTCAGATTAGGAATATTTAAGTCTAACTATGAAAATTGTTGTCTAGTTGATGGCAATGGAAAATATCAGGCGAATAACTAGTTTCGATAAAACTAAAAATATCTACACCAGAAACTACACCAAGAATTACACCCAATAAAAGAAATCTAGAAAAGCAAATTGTAAGCATCGTTTATTTTTTTTTGCAATTTTTACAAATTCTCTTCCGAAAGAAATTCTCACTTAAACTCACATCGGATACTTTTAGGATTTTGAGAGTTTTGACACAATGTCCGTGCCCTTATTGAAGGATGTTAACTTGGTCCAAAAAATGATGGTGCGCCCAATAAATTGTCTACTAGAAGTAAAAAGTTCGGGCCACAAAGTTCACAACACTGGTAATAAAAGATAACTCTTTAGTCGGGCACATTGAACATCAGAATGGGAGCTTTCAATTTAATAGCGATCCAGAAAGCAATTGGTTTACCATATAAAGCTATTTATCAAACTAAACTCTAAGCAAAGAGCTCCAAAAACTATTCGAGGTCAGTTAAGGGGCAGTCGAAACATCGGGGTTTTGCACTGATATGCGATTGGTCTTCTTACTTAATCCATTTCTATCAAAAGATTTCAATAAATCAGGAAAATAAACAAACAGTTTGTAGACTATAGACCCTCATAATATAAACTGTCATCTTGTAACAGTACCAAAAAAATCGTCGTCGCCAATTTTACCGTGGTTCTTGTGATTTTGATTTTTATAGAAATTATAACATATCTTTTTGTCGTTCGCAAAAAATTGTGATGTTTCCTGATCAAATAATAGGCAAATTGTTCATACTAAGAACAGAGTTTCTGTATATCAAGTTAAAGACGACAATATTACTTGGTTGAACATTTCTTTTCAGCCAATCAAAGAAAATTACTTGAAATTACTTTTCAGCCAATCATAAATCAGCTTTTGCATATCTCATTTGTATTGAGACAATTAAATTTTAAGTAACGACCTTCTTATAAAAAATCTTAATTCTAGGTTTTTGTTTGCTGAAATTTTAACAATGAAAAGACATGATTCTGCTAACTGTTATGATCAGCATCCAAAAATACGCATAGTTTACTTTGAACCAGAACTTTCGGTTCATGTGATAACTTTCCGCTGAAATAATGGAACCTGATTTAAACTACAATTTATTATTGGATAAATTAGATATTTTACCTCTGTAAAATATTTAATATTGACCAATCATAATCCATCCAACTAACAACCCACTTATTTGTAAGTGCTGAAATTACTGGTAATTTCAGCACCAGAGAGATTTGAATTTAACTTAGAAATTACTTACCTCTCCAAGAGAACTTCAGCAGTTGCAATAAGTCAGTATACTCTAGATCTATTGAGCCTAGCAGAGACTAGTTAAACACCCTGAGACTAGTAGATATAAGAGTAAGATTAGGATCGGTATTAGACTAAGAAGTTGCACGAATCTATCCGGCCGAAAATAAGATAGCGTGACGAGCAGACGGTGTACCCTATGAGTTAACCACATCGGTCCTAACTCATCTGGTGCGACCATAAGTCTCGAATAAGACCTTAATAGCTTAGAATTAACCAACTATAGATTAGAAATTAGACAAAACGTTTTCAAAATGTTACACGATAATAACTTAATTGAAATGTCTCTACGACTCAATAGATCAGAGCCGATATTCCGAACAATACTAGAACTACCCGGTATTGGAAGAAGACCTCGGACAAGAGACGATATACGACTACGTAGAAACTTACCATTTAGTTTTATGGTTGTAAGGCAAAAGCCAACACAAACTTTTATATTTAGAATCTTATTAGCAATGAATTTAGTTTTTCATTTGCGATCATAAAATTTTGAAGTAAATCTTCATGATTTTTCAGGCGCTAAACAAAATAATTAATGTACAATAACGATTGATAAAAAGATCTCAGATCGTTCCCTTAATTTCTGCAGTATTATATAAAACATATTTGAAAAATATTTATTGAAAATAAAAATAAAAATTGGTAGCATGACAATAAATAGATAGTAATTATAAACCATCTTGTTGTTACAGCTTCATCACCTAAACATAACAGCAATCATAAGCTCACTAACATCATTTAAAAACTAAATCTTTTTATCAAATAAATATAAACCATTTTGAATTTAAATTCACTTAATTTTAAATTAGATCATCAAGGCTTATCCTTGGATCTTCATAAATTTTCTATCTCATTAATTTGAAAAAAACTAATCATCAAGGCCTATCCTTGGATCAAAAAGAGCAATTTTGTTCTCCCCCACCCACTTAGCAAGTGAATAACGACCTCAAACGTCGATTCACTATCCAACCCTTTCAAAAGACCCAGGACTAAAAGAAATTTTAAAATAAAACTAACCATTCAAATTAAGCTAAACAGCAAAGAACTTCGGTGATTCATCCTTCACTTGAACCCTCCTCTTACCAGATCAGGATAGATCTTAGACTTAGTAAGTTTAAAATAGTATCTAACGAACTACTTGCGTTCTAATTATACCTGAACCTTGTGGATCGATTTACTATTCTCCAACCCTTGAACACAATCACTACCCCTAAGTAAGATTAGGTAAGTTAACACCTTAACTTAGACTAGCCACGAGAAAGTAAAAAATCATTCTCCGGAATCGATATACTTTTCTCTCCAACCCTGAATAAAAAGACCCATGTTAAGCTAACCAAAAAATTGTAAGGACTAACAGTCTAGGAAAATAAAAATAACTAACAACTTCTTGCATCCCTCATCCTAAACCTTATGTCATTCCAAAATTTAGGAAATAAACAAACAATCGTTAACACAATTGTGAAAAAGACAACCAAAAATACGATCTTGTAATCACTCCACATACACAAACAGTTGGATACATTGGAACAAAACGGCAAACAATAAAAAGAAAAATTATAAACAAACAAAGACAAATCACATGAAAAAGATTTTTGAAATATAGAAACGCATTTTCTGAATCAGAAGCCAACAGTTTAGACAAACTATATAAATTAAAAGAATCAATAAATAAAAATTGCCCCATTCACGATCAATTATTTTTTTCCGACTCAGAAACAACTTCAAATTCATCAAAAAGAGGAAAAAGAAGAATAAAAAAGCAATATAAGCACAAACCAGTACACCTGTATAATTGGAATCAACCAATTAGACACATTGATTGTTATATATTAACAGTCATCAAACGAAAAATTGAGCCACACTCAAAGTGACGAAAGTCCAGATGAAGAAGCAGTTTTTCCCTTTCTTATAGATTGACTCGATGATAGAGGACAAACACGATTTTGTAAAAACTTACTCGTAAATTTGTTTGAACCAGGAATCAGTCCATGCAAAGCAGAATTCCTGGATGTAAAAATCAAAAGACAAATTATTGAACAATATTTGAAAGACATATGTTATCTAACACAACAATACGGAATCTACGCCATAGAATTCAGCACACCAAATACAGCCCATAGTAAATATGTAATTCAAACAGACGATTTTGAATTAGAATTTTCAAAAGTATTCATCGAATATATCAACAGCATACAATATCATAATTCACAAAGCAAATTCCATATTCACTAACGAAGTTTTTGCAATAATATATAGTTATATATCTATATTAGAAAAAACAGAAGTTCAAAGTATATCACCAACCGAAACATCGAAACATACAAAAAAAACGAAATGAAATCACAGTATTTTCAACATTTCTACATATAAGCCGCAAAAATTTTACTAAAGAAGATGTTTCACAAAACACTAAAAATGATTTACAAAATATTTTAGCATGGTTTATAATAGATTATTTCACCCACAATTTAGATTTATATTCACAAGCAAGAAAAAATTTAAGACCTCAAAATACCAATGACGACACTGTCCTTTCAGAACAATCAGATTACGTTTGGGACCCTGAATGGTCTCATCCAGCATTTCTAAATATTCCACAAGATATCTCGAGTCAAGCAACAAGTATCTTTCCACAGAGATTATGTAAAAGTAATACCACTAACCATTGACGCATCACCATTAAATTATAATACATTTTTACCAGATACACGAAATAACAGCTTAAATTCAACAGTCATACATAATGAAAATCTCAATGGAACCAGAAATCTTACACAACAAGATATTCAAACACCATCACACTTCATAAATGAAGAAATCGTCCAAACAACAATAACAACTACACAACAAAGTATTTC